GCTTCCCTATGAACAGGAGAGGTTTAGTTTCTATGACATCTGATCTGTACAAGTGCAAGGAATGATGGTAATAACCTGATTAGCTTATCCTTTCATTCCCCTGCCTCCAGGCAGGCTCAAAACTAAAGAAATCTAGAATTTGAGGAAACAAAGACTATATATGCTGATGGCACCTGAGCAGACTCCTTACTTTCTGACCAAACCCATGCCTTGTCATGCAGGCCTCACCTACCACTAACGATAACAGGATGTCATGTGTCCTGTACACAGCCTGCCCTCAAAGTGGGCAGCAAGCTTTCCCCAGGCCACAGCCCAAAGTCAGAACAAAGGCTCCTTTTTATATGGGGACAAAAGAAAAGAGTCTGAATAATTTGGAGTTAGGGCCAGCATTCAAAAGAAGGCCCACCACAGGGGTGGGATTTGCTACTTAAGAGACACAATCATATCCAACAATGTGCTTTCAGTACCCAGGAAGAAAACTGTCCCAAGAAAGCAACTGAATATGCTGACAGCTAGATATGGGGACTGATATTCAGCAAGCTGTAATTCACTAAACCTGAACAACTGCTGGAAATGTACATCAATTCCTGCATTGCTGTTGTGAAGCCATGCCCCCAGTACAGATGGGAAAGAATACGAGAACACACACATACACACATACACAAAGAATGAAATTCTGAACAACAGGGGAGGCAGATATCTTATTGAAGATAAGAAGATACATATACCTAGCAACTTCTTGTATAATAAAGAAAATAGTATCATATTTCCTATTTATAGGTATCTAGCATACCACAGGATATAAAGGATTTTCATAAGACTCAATTATTCTCATTTACAAGGAAGAAAAATGAGCTTCAAAGATGCACAATAAACTGCTCAAGCGGCACATCTAATAGCAGAACAGAGGCAAGAATCTGGGTTTCTCAGACTCCATATTGTGTTTTAATCTGATTAACATCAGGCAAGGCTAGCTTGGATGGAATGGCATGAAGCACTCTTGATTATCTGTCCTAAGGCTGGGATGTTCACCCAACAATGAGATTTTCAGGTAAGGAACGAAGATGTCCTGCTATATCAGTGACTAATTTTGTCAATGATCTACAAAGATGTCCAGTTGATATGGAATTAGGAGGAAAATTTTTTCTTTGCTACTATACTTTCATGTTATATGCCAAATAACCTAGGGATAATGTTCTCCAGGAGCTACTAAACCTCAGCTCAGGGTCAGTCTGGATCAATCAAGCAACTGTTCTATAACATAGAGGTATAACATCCCAGGAAATTGCCCATCTATCTACTAACTATATCAGCACTAGAGAAAATCCAATATTTCAGTGTGACTCATTTTATGTCCTACCTAGACATGTCAGAGTTTGAATAGATTCTAGAGAATGCTTTAGAGAAGGAGAAAATAAAAGCCCATGATTACACACCAAATGTTCTGGAGAGCCAAGAGTAGAATTCGAGTTTCTCATTTCCTATTATAGTTAGCACTGTTTCCAAAATACCATTCTACCCTTAACCAAAATCAATGTAGAAAAGTGGAGATAGAAGTTTTATTTCTAAATATCTACTAGAAAAGAGCTTCCATAACCTCCATTATTTAATCCCTTGAGTATCACACAATCTTATTAAAAATGTAAACCTACATTCATGAGAACTGCAAGGCCTATCTTGAAACCAATATTCAATTATTCATGTTACAGCAGCCTACCCCCATTTCCTTTTACTGGTGACACCACAACAGCTGGCCTCTAGATTCTATGGTACTTTTCTTTAGAGATCTGAAGACCATTAGGCCATTATTAAAACAAACAAACAAAAAGGTTTAGAATGATCAAATACTCATTCTGAACACAATCTGAGGAAACATGGAATGCTTAGTTTTCCATAGAATAACACTGGTATAATCAATAGAATATTGGAGCTCTAAATTATGATTTAAGCTCTGCCTTAAATGATCCTGGTTTCTTATTATGGTCCTCAGTCTAGACTTATGCTATCTGATACAGCAGCAACTAGCCACATGTGGCTAATGAACACTTGAAATGTGACTAGTGTGAACTGAGATGTGCTTTAACTATAGAATACACACCAGATTCAGACTTAGTAAAATATATCATTAATAATTTTATAGTGATAATATTGATATTACATAAAATTTTGAGTATATTGGTTTAAGTAAAATATATTAAAATTAATTTCATCATTGATTTTTTTTTTTTTTTACTTTTTTTAGTGTGGCTAGCAGAAAATTTTTAATGAATCTGTGGTGTGAATTTGTGTCTCACATTATATCTCCATTGGACTGTGCTTGTCTAGACCAATGGTTCTCAATATCAAAGATGCTGATTTAATCAGCCTGGAGACTGC